CTGCAAGGGAGGAGGCCTGTCCACCATTTCCTTCAACCAGTATGGGAGTGGGGAGTGGCTCAGAGCAAGCAGCCATTCACTCCTCGGAAGCTGCCGGAAGTATGCTGACCAGCAGCCCTAGACATTTCTCCTCCCTTACACAAAACATCTCAAGGGGTTGAGAAGGCACCCAGGAGGCCACGTGGGCTCAGGGGAAAGGCTGGGACTCCAGGAAAAGGAACGCCAATGGAAGCAAACTCCTGCACCCTTCGTTGGAAGGCCAAGGCTACAAGCTTTGGGCAGTGGAACCAAAACAGTGGTGCCTCTCACAAGTAGATGTCAAGACAGAGAAGTCACTTCATAAGAAAGTTCTCTCCCTCAGCACAGGCACGACCTCACATCTGAGCCCTGCCCACATCACATTTTCCCCATGATCCTGCCCTGAGCTCACTGGTTGGCTAGGTGGTGGCACAAACCCACACATTTATACTGAACAAGATGAATCCAGCAGGGTTGTTTTGTTTGTAGTGCTGGGGATGGAAGCCAGCGCCTCACCCATGCCAGGCAAGTGCTCTACCCCTGAGCTGCACCTTAGCCCACCAGCTGGTTTTAAAATGCAGCCTAAACTACCACACCTAGTAGTACTCAAAGTCTTAGGTAACATCAGACCAGTCCAATAGGACAGAAATGGGCCCCACAGTAGCAGGAACTGGGAAACCCAGCTCCTGGGGCCAGCACCCATGCTGGCCACCTGGCTCTCTAGCCTTAGTTTCCTTATCTAGGAAGTGGGGCAGTGTGGTGGTAAGATGAGGCCTGAAAATGGTGTCTCGCGGGGACTGCCTGGCTGTTGTCTCTAGTGAGCACTGCTTACAAGTGGCATCTCTCGATGGGGCCGTGGAAGGGCACTGAGGTACAGCAAGGTAGAGAAGGTACCAACAGCCGTCTAGGGCTGGCTCCCCACTTTGTCTGACTACACAACTCACTGCAGGCTGAGTATGCCCAGGTGCTCCCTTCCAGCGACAGGAGCCCTGCCACACGGGCAGAGGTCTGACACCCCAACATCTCACTGTGCTCCCATGATGCTCCATACCACGTTCACAGGACCTCTCATGGCAGCCAGGAGACAGCAGGCAGGCAGGGAAATTGAGTCTGGGCAAGCTGAGCAGTGGGTAAAGGCAGGAGCTCTGGAGCCTGTTACTATTTTGGATGCTCCAGCTCTTCATTTAAAACCCAGAGGGAACTATATTAACCTTACAGGCTTGTTGCATAAAAGAGAAAGTGTGTTCATTTTGACACACTGTAAGTGCTAGATTGTTGTAAAAAAGATAGCATTATTTTTATTACTAGAGAGGTCAGGACTGCAGTCCAGGTGCCAGCCCCTCAAGGTCCTCTGTCCCTCCATCTCTCAGCTTCCCGTGTGACCCATCAAGAGCCATTGTTTAAACTATTGTCCCATCATCCAGAGCCCCCTGGACTTGGGCTCTGGCACAAGATTTCTTTTACATATTTCAGTTTCCCAAAGGTCTTCTGCCAATTGGGGGCCCAATCTGGCTTCTTGCCCTCTAGGGTCCCTTCCAAAATGGCACTGAAGTGCTCCCTTCACTCCCTTTAATCCTACAGCCCACAGCCAACCCACCCCTCGACCTCCCCAGGCCCTTGGCTCACACAACCCTCAGACTGCTTTGGCTTGGGGTTGCACAGGAGGGACAGTGACGTCCCCCTGGAGCCTGAAGCCACAGCCTGCCCACCTCCCATGGGGCTGAGGGGCTCTCCCATGCTGCAGGAGCCAGGACACGGGGCCAGTCTGGGTGCTTGTGTGCTTCCATCTGGCCCCAGCGAGATCCGTCTGGGTTGGCTTTGGAAGGGATGAGTTTATTTTAAACTATTCCACGTGGAAACACTGAAGCTTCTTCCTTTTACTAGCGGTTCCAAGTAGGTTAACCCCTTCTTTTCCCTGCTGGCTGCCTGCAGGCAGAAGAAAACAAGGAATGAATTCTACATGCTGCCCAGATCCCAGCAGCCCACAGAAACTACATCCCCAGGAGCCACAAGGCTCTGGGCAGAAGACTCAGGAACAAGCCAAGGGAGAGACCCGAACCCATTTGCCTGCAAGCTGGGACTGCAGGCCCAGCAGGAAGGGCCACGGATGGGTGCCAACCCCCACCCACAGTCATGCCTGCCTCAACCTCCCCATCTGTAACAGGGCACATTACAGCTCCCCAAATCTCTGGAGTGTTTTGAAGCAGTGGAACCTTCATGTTGGCCCAGTGGAGTCTTTCAAGAAATATCGGGGAAAAAAAAAGAGCTACTCCAGGAAGCTGCATGACCTTGCCCAACAGGGAGAGTGGCTGTTAGTCTGACAAATGCCAAGGGTCCTCCACATGCAGGCAGAGAGAATAACAGGAGCTAGATTGCCTGTGTGGGAGAGGAAGGTAAAACATGCAAAGGAGGAGCCTATGCTGGGCTGGGCTGCAGTCAAACTCTCGCGTGAGCTCACCAGAGTCTGGTTTTCAACAAAGATGTGTGCAGTGGTAAGTACAGACAGGATGTGTGTAGAGCGTGAAGACACAGGTACCTCTTTCCCACCTGTCACTGGGAGGGCCTGAGAGTGACACTCAGAGGCAACAGGAAGGCACCTCCCAGCCCAGGCTTAGATTCCACCCAAACAACCAGGGCTTCTTGGAGAAATGGCTGGTTCCAAGGCTGAGGTAAAGACAGGACCAAATAAGCCTGCAACACCTCTCTGGACAGAAAGCACGGGAAGGTATAAAGAATGGTGGGGATACTCCAGCTTGGAGGGGCTGTCAGTGGCCACAATGAAGACCATTCCAGCAATAAAATAAATAATGACACTAACAGACTATAACCCAATGAATTAAATAGGAACCCCTGAGCCCACACCAGTATCAATAAACAGGGAGAAGAAAACATTCTTCCTCAGAGGAGACTGCGCCAGGCTCAGTACGCACTGGGTCCTGGTGTGTGCGGGTGCCCACGCAAGCATCCTCCCTCCCAGTGCATTTCAAACAAGGCACGGCTTCTCCTTGAACTTGGCAGGGAGTCGCCCTCTAGTGGTTTGAGCAGAAGGTAGCACAAGGAAGAGGAAAATGAAAGTTGACCTTGAAGATCCAGAGGCAGGAAAGGCAAGGCAAAGGTGCGGAATGAGGAGCGGGCAAGAAGGAAGGGATGCCTCGTCTGGCATGAGGGTAGATTTCATCTATCTGGGGTTTGTCAACTTCATACCAATAAAAAATTAGAGATGTAAGTTTAAATGGAGAAACAAAATGACTTTATGGGAAAGAGGAGAGAAATGAGGAGGATGGACAGCTACCTTGTTGGAATAAGGTAGGGAGCCCGGCCCGGAGCCAGTGCTCAAGGGTCTTTGTCTTCAGCCCCTTAGATTATATGGCAAGAAGGGGACTCTCTCCTTTGAGAGTTGTTATAACTTGACCGGCTATGTTAGGCTCTGAGATCCCTGATTTGGCCACTGGCTCTGTCTATGGCCTATGTGTAAATTTCTGGGTAAGCTCTTTTGGCCTTTTTCATTTTATCCAGTTGGTATCGCTGAAATTTATAGCACAGCTTGATATTTAAGGCCGAGCTGGCAATTAGTAAAGTGATATTAGGTACATTCTAGTGTATTAACATGGTGAGAGAATAATTACGCATATATACATTTATATACAGGTGTGTCTATGTGTGAGTATTCTATATATTAAGTGGGTTTTTTATATTATAGCCCCCTCTCTACTTTGTCTCTTGCATTTAACTGGAGGTGGAGAGGAGCAAACTGGGGCCCTGGTACCTAAGCGAGCCAGGGTGCTTATCGGTTTTTTTCTCTTTTCTTAATGGCTCTCTCTAGCAGGGGTTTTAACTCTTTTGTCAAAATTTGTCAGAAACCTCACTAAGGCCCTTGCCTGTTTTGTCTGTCTCCCAACTTCCTCTATGGGGACAGTGGGTGAATCTGGGGGGGAAAGGACGGAAAGGCCTAGAGAATGCTCACCCCCACCTGGTGCCTTCAGGTCTTTGCCAGGCTCCTCCCAGGGATGTCCTCTCAGGTGACACAAGGGTGGGCTCTGACTGTCCTCATGGAGGCATCCAGGCCAGCCTGGGCATTCCGCAAGGCAAGCCGGGAGACAACCTCTGAGACCACCTCTGCCTAGCTGGGCCCACTTAGTCCTCCGTTTTCAAGTACCAGGAGTCTCACCCTGACTCCTGCCTTGCCGATGAGTACCCTAGGGCCACAGAATGCAAGTCCAAAGACAACAGGCCTGGCACCGGTTCCCCCCGGGGCAGCTGGGATCCAGCCCACAGGTGGCCACCCTCCCACGGGCCAGGAGGGGTGTTTGCATAAGCTGGTATGTGGGACCTAATGAGGCCACATCTCTGCCCAGCCCAAGGGAGAAGGACAGAGTGCAGGTGAAGCTCATCCTTCCCTGTCACAGTGACTCCACAGTCACAGACAGTGCCCCCTGTCCCAGTCCTGCTGGAGTAGGCCCCTGAGAAGGGGTGGAATGAGCAGAAAGGTCTTCCACAGTGCCCACTACTGACCCATCCAGACTGTGGCTGGCTGGAATTCCTACAAGGAGGCCTATTTTCATTGAATTATAGTCTCATGTGTCAAAAGGTGGCCCTGGCTGGGCATCAGTGGTCAGACTGGAGCTAGGAGCTTTGGCAGCTTGTGAGACAGGAGAGAAGGGCCTAATGCTCCCCAAGAGGTACTTTTTATTTGACAGCCTCCTCGAATGAATCCCTTGGAGCCACCTGGCTACATCTGGTGTTTCATGTCTCCAGGAGACATTTGCTTTAGTGAAGCAGTCTTCAGTTGTGGACCTATCCCAGATGATTCCGCCCTGTAGCTACCCTGGGTAACTCCATCCCTCTGCAGCTATCCTCAGGTTTGAGATGGGCCCCATTCCCACAAGTCTGCCTTTTCCTATATAAGCAACTTCCCCCATACCGTGGAGTCAGTCCATGCACTGCTCCCCCTTATGTTACAGCATAAGTACTACTAGAGCCTCTCCCCTGTGGCATATTCCTGCCTATTCATGATTTCTGTCTTCAGTAGAGCACACTGAGCTGGTAACACCAAAGGCTGTTAGCGCTGAAAGCAGTCAGAGATTGGACCTGGTAACGCTGAAGGCCATTAGCAGCAGAGAACAGAGGGCAAGAGAGAATTGCCAGGAGGGGCCATCACTGGTAGTCAGAAGAGTTCCCAAGGATTGCCAGTAGCTGCTGACTCTGATCAGCTAGGGGGGTCCTCTCACACTAAAAGAATTGACAGCACCGGGATTCAGAGCTCAGGATTGTTATCACTACAAGAGCTACTGTTGCCAACGTGTGATCTCTATAGGAATTGAGCCAAAGAACCCCTGGCAACTGGTAACATCTTGGAGGCCTGTAGAGGGACCCTCCCCTTTAGGGGGCATACAATGGGGGTGCTCATCAGCAATGGAGAAGCAGCTGAAGAACTAGCCTGTCTGCTTTCTTACATATGGCTAATGACCCACACTAGCCATTGACACTTGGGTTGGTTTCTATTTTTAAACTAATGATTCTGTACTTTCAGCTGGTGACTCAGTCCCTTCTTTGGCTTCCCCAGCAGGAGGTCTGCCAACCTCTGGGGTTATCTCGAGGGAAGGGAGTTCTCCCCTTTCCAGGCAGTCTGTTCTATTTTGGGATGGCTCTAACACATCTTCATGGGCACAGTTTCCTAGAGGTTAAATAAGGTCTGAGTATTCCATAAAAATAGCTCTTGTTCATATAGCAGCATTACTGCACTCTAGAAGACACTAAGGATATAGGACATAGTCACAGTCCTCCACAGCATCTGTAGCTCCCCTTCAGACTTCTTTCTATTCATGTAGCCACACATCTATATCTATACCTGTGTTTCTAACTGCTGAACTCCAGGTCCAGTGCTGACATTCCAGGATCCAGAGGAGGAGGTTCCAGAGCAGGTGGAACTGGAGGGTCAGGTGACAGTCCCAGTCAGAAAAACCCAGCACCAATGTCCCTGCCCTGTACAAGACTCACTTTTCACACCTGCAAATGAGAGGTGACAATACTGATATTGGAATGACAATGACAATATCATCTGTAAGACTTGAGGCCCATCTAGGAGTAGGAAACAGGACCAGCCTCTCAGTTTCACAATGATCAGAGGTACAGAAATGGCCTGGCCCCCAGCAGTGCCATCCATTGTCAGCACATTGAGAGTGACTCTGAGCCTCCAACCTCCAGCAGGGCAGTCCTTTCTTTGGCTTCCCCAGTAGGTCATCTGCCAACCTCTAGGGATGGGGACTCCCCATTCTCCAGGCAGCCTGTCCTATTTTGGGATGGCTCTAACAGATCTTCATTGGCTCAGTTTCCTAGAGGTTAAGTAAGGTCCCTTCCGGTACTTTCCAGACACAGAGCAAGTGAGCAGAATGTGAAGGAAAGCATGTGAAGCAGAATGTGAATGTGAAGCAAAGGCCATTGAGGTCTCTGTCTGCCCTTGAGAAATATGGCATCAAAGCTGGGCCTCGCACACCACATCATCACACATGTATAGAAAGCATAGCTTTGGAGCAAGCTCCCCAGTGGGCATACATCAGAAAGAAGGGGCCTTGGCTGACTGACCAGGGAGGCCTCAGAGACTTTTGTACCAATCCTAAAATACCCGCAGTACGTGCTGCACTGTTAACACAACATGCTAATTTATTTGCCCACTTTACTAAAAAGGCCAGAAGTGAGACCAGCTTTAGGTAGAGTTAGATCCAGATGTTTAAATGATATAATTGGGAGTTTCTGCATTTCTAGGCTGCTTTCCTACTGGTTGGCTTCACCCTCAGGCACTTTCTTCTGGGGTGACAGAGGTGGCTACTGCTAGGTCTCAGCATATTATTTCAGTAGTCATTTTCCAAGGGGTTCTGGAAAATCCTGGGCCAACTCATGGCTCATATGCCCACTGCTGCAGCTGGGAGCCTCTGTGCTGAGCCTGAGTCCCAATGTCCAGGCCTGCAAACAATGATGGGCTAAGGGTACAGGAATGGTGGCCCCAAAGGACACAGAGACACACTCAGAGGAACAGGCAGAATCACAGGTGTCCCATCCCATTCCATTATGTACTATGACTCTTTGAGGTTATAGTCACTATAACATTTGAGTTTGTTTGGTTTTGTTCTGTTTTTGGTACTGGGGATTGAACTCAGGACCCTGTGCTTGCGAGGCAGGCAGGGAGCCACTGAGCTAAATCCTCAGCCCTGTTTTCGTTTTTTAACCACCAACTGCTCAAGGATTTTGGCCTTCTTGGACACAGGGACCCAACTACCCTTCCCACTCATGGGCCAGGAGGTCAACTCTGCCCTGAAGATCACTGACAGGCCAGGGCCACTGGTGCAGCAGACTGAGTCTCTACCCCCAGGAAAGCCCCAGCATGGTAGGAAGACAGAGACTGAGCCCCAGGCCAGAGGACTCCACCAGGGATTTCCCTCATAAGCCCGGCTGGTGGAGTAACAATCTGTGGTCACAGGGAAGGGGCTGTGTGGCCCAGGGAGGATGTGAGCCAAGGCAGGGAGCATAAAAGGCCATTGCTCAGAGCCAGCAGAGCAGACAGTGGTGGGAGATGAGTTTGGGAGGCGGCTGGGCACAGGAAAGGGAATGAACCTCATCCTCTGGAAGGTGGGTCCACCTGCTCACCTACTGATGTGTTTTCCCTACTAGAAAGAACAGCCTGGAGGGTGGGGATGCCTCCCACAGTCCCTCTGCCCCTCCTCCCCATCCACAGAAGTGCCTGGCCATAACAGGTGCTCATTAAGTATCTGTGATGGGGACAAAGGGGCGTCAAGAAGACAGGCTTGGGCCCCCTTCACTGCCAGTGGGGACTGCTATGGTTTGAATGTCCTCTCAAAACTCATGTTGAAACCTATTGCCTGGGGAATGTGGGAGGCAGGGAGACTCACTCCTAGTGGACACATGAGGAAACTGAGGCTCACAGGAGTAAACATGATGTCCAAGTTTATCCAGCTGGACCTGTGCTCTGGGAGGACAGGGGCCAGGCTTTTCTATTTCTCCACTGCTCCAATTTTACACAGTTGCTCACCCACATGAAGGCAGCAAGAGCATCCAGGGTACCAGGTAGGCACCAGGTAGGGGGCTTGTCCCTGGCTGCCCCCAGCCTGAGGATGACAGCAGGGCCAGGGGAGCATGCAGCATCACACCCTCGGTCCTGCCCACAACACAGGAGAAACTGCACAAATGAAAGTGAATAAAGTGCACTCGTCAGAGCACAAGACAGGGGCCAGGGCTCTAGTCCCCTTTTCTGCTTCTCTCCTTCATCTCTCTGGAAGAGCAGAAATCAGAAATCAGACCAATGGGTCATAGTGCATCTGTTTTGGGTGCAGGCAAACAGGAGCAACAAGGAAAGCTTTGGGAGACGTTCCCTCTGCCTCCTAGGCTAGCCCATGCCAACAGCACTGGCCATGTCCCCAAGCCACATCATAGTAGCAAGAAGGCTGGGGCCACTTGCCTGGAAGCAAGAGAAGACTGGGATGAGACCCAGCCTCAGAGGGGCTCCCCTAGCAGGGGCTTGGATGGCACTGTGGGGGATGCCACAGAGTCCAAGTGGCCAAGGTTCACACTGGAGCCACACATGAGGAAACTGAGGCCCATAGGAAGTGTCCAGAACACTCTGGACGGGTGGCCAGCCTGGCACAGGATAGTGGGCCACTGTTCCTGCCATGTCTCGGGGCAGTGGCTCCTTACTTCTCCAGCATGCTGCACCCCTGCCAGAGCTGCCCACACTTGCCTGGCATCCTCTCCTTATTCCACCCCACAGCAGGCAAGGGAGGGCTCCAGTTCAGCTGACTCTAAGCACAAACATGTGACTTCTGGAGCTGCCACCTGTCACCTCATGCCACCAGGCCCTCAGGTGGGGTGGATGGGGTCAAATGACCCCCTTCAAGGTCTGCCCTGGCTCAGAAGCCCCCAAAGCCAGGCCCTGCGAAGGGCCCACTCATCAGGCCGTGTGTGTGTGTAGAGGTATGAAGCGAGGAGGGGGGCTGAGCAGACCCATGAGCCCCCACACTGCCATTCTTGTTTAGCATGACTGACCCTTGCCTAGAATTCCATGAGACCTAGCTAATTACAGGGTGCTATGAGGCTTCCAAGGCTCCGAGTCAGCGAGCTGGGTTCAAATCCTTACTCTGGCAGGCTGTGTGGCCTTAGGTAAGTTACTCCACCTCTTTCTGCTGCCGCCTCCACATTGATAAGTTGGGGAAGATGAGAGGCACCTTCCAGGCTATAGGATTCATATGAGCTGAGGTTACAGGTGAGGGCACCTGCACAGGCCTGCATGGGTGTCCCTTTGTGAGGCACCCCTCCGACAGCCTCCTTGTGAGCTTGTTGCTGAGTGTCCCCCGCTGAGGGTATCAGAGGGGTGAGAAGAGCTGCAGGCCCAGAGCACATACCCTGGATGTTTGCTGAGTGACGACTCCTGGATTGGCCCAGTGGACCCGGTGGAACTGGAAGGCCCAGTAGACCCTTCCTCAATTCCTGTCCCACCACCCTGGAACCTTCCAGGACCTGAGTTACCTGCAGGCTCCCCAGAGGCAAGTTCCTGGGGCTGGGAGGTTGCTTATGAGTGTTCTCCCTCCTGGGCTGGCCCCTGACCTCCCGGACTCACCCTGTGGCCACCCCCAGCCTCTATTAGCCCAGAGCCCCACTGGTATCTCCTCGGGAACACAGAGCATAGCCCGGCTGCGGATGGATTTGTGTACCTTTCCCTTTTTGCCCTGGACACAAAGTGGTCTTGGTCAGGGACCAAGCACAATCATGAGGTCAGGCACCAGAAAGTACCACTATTTCTAATTCTGTCTTTCCACCCACTAGCAAGTCAGACAGCAGGGACACTCCAGAGAAAGCCAGAGGGGGCAGCCAAGATGGAGTGTCCGCCCCAGACATGCCCTCATCACCTGCAGCACCGGGTAGGTCCCACTGACCTCGTCACACATGCCCAACTCTGCCCCCCAAAACCCTCCACGTGAGGCCCATTCTACCCTCCCCAGGGCCTCTTTGGGTCCCTCACCAGTCTCTTATGAGGGCCAGGGTTGGAGGGGACTGGGCTGCCAGGTGGTTATCATGCCCTTGAGACCCTTTAGGACTATAAAATGGGAGGAACAAGGGCCTCCCTGTCAGACAGCTAACTGATGGCCAAGTTATGGAGCAACAGGAACTTGGTCTACCAGTCTCATGTCATCTGGCAAGCTAAACATATGACCCATGACGTGCCATCTGTTGGCAGGCCTGCCCTAGAAGGACCCATGCCCATATGCCCAGCAGACAGACCGGAATATTCCTGCCAGCCTGTGCAGAATGGTCTAGCCAGGACCCACCCAAACATCTCCTCATCTCCTCTGAGGGATAGGCAGAGGCGAGCTTGTACCACAGAGAACACATGGCCACCAGGAAGAACCAACTATGCCAATGATCCATGTGGTATTCCACTCAGAGGAAGGCTGGAACAGGCCCACCCCAGCTCCACTGCTGGGGGATTCCCATGAGAGGCTACAAAGCACACTCAGAAATGACTGTGACCAAGGAGGGGGCTGAGGTCACTCAGGAGGCCAGGGACGGGAGTTGGTCAGGGACTGGGGTCTTCTGGGGAGCTGGGAGTGTCCTGGTTCTTGACCAGGGTGTTTGCTTTGTTAGTCATTAAACTTCACAGTTAGAGTTTATTCACATCACACTTTTTTCTCCAGTACTGTAACTGAACTCACAGCCCTCACACTGAGATACAACCCTGGACCTTTTTACTTTAAAGACAGGGAGTTTCACCAAGTCACTAAGTTGCCAAGGCTGGGCTTGAGCTTGGGATCCTCCGGCCTTGATCTCTTATTAGACTTCTGGGGTTACAGGTGTGCACCAACACACCTGGATTCACACACAAAAAAATGTTTTTTTAAATTTTAATGAAGGCAGGCACAGTGGCACAAACCTGTAATCTGAGCACTCTGTCAGACTGAGCAGGAAGACTGCAAGTTCGAGCCCAGCCTGGGCAGCAAGCC